AGTACCCAGTTATAAAAGTTCAATTTAAATATTCATCAAATGAATTTTAAAACATCTGTTATCTACTTTCTGGGAAAAGGAGTGATCCATAATCAGGAGTAGAGTGTCTGTGAGGTCAAGGAGATGAGTGGAATTGGGAAACAGAACCTGTCCATTCATTTATCAATTTATTCAAAAAACATTTGCCAGGTCATCCGTGAAGTACTATGTTGACAGAGGTGCATATAACAGACCTGGTCCTTGTCTTTGTGGAGTTCACAATCTCCTGGGGAGACAAAAAAGAAATAGAAAATAGGGGTCAGACAGTGGCACAGCAGTGAGGTAACCACAGCTACATAGAGAGGTCCTTGGTTTGCATCCTGCAACCTCCCAGTACATACCGCATGCACACATGCCCATGATCCAGGCTGACCAGGACCTGGATAGTCACGGTGTGAAGGCCACTTGGAGGAGCTTCTCTCTTTCTCTCACTCTCTTTCTCTCTCTTTCTCTGTCTCTTTCTCTCTCAGAAGGAATAAATTTAAAAGAAAAAAAAATCAGCAAACAAAACGACTAACTGTAAGAGCTATACAGGAAATAATCAGGTGTTGGCACACAAATTATTAGCTAAGGTTTCCAGTCTGAGAATGTCTCTGAGGCAACAATGAGCTAACACGTAAAAGATGAGAAGATCAAGGAAGCAAGGAGCTTGATGTTATTAAGGTACCAATATCAAGTCAACAGGTAGAGCAAGTCACCTTGGAGAGAATATGCTAGAAGATGAAAGATGCAAAGACCTTTGTGAGGAATTCGGATTTTATTCTGAGTTCAACTCTAGAAAGCAGAAACCTATAATCCTAAATAAGAAACCTAGAATAGTACTTGGCATGTAGCAAGTGATTAACATTAGCCATATATATATATAGAGAGAGAGAGAGAGAGAGAGAGAGTACCCCTAAACTAGCAAGTCTTGGTCCTAATAATGGATTAAAACTTGAGCAATAAAAAGATATTCACTTACCTGACAAACATTTTTTATTTAGCAACTTTTCCATACAACCAGCCAGGTTCTAGACAAAACAAGTCAAATCCCATTTTCAAAGGGAAAGCTTATTTATTTTAACTTTTACTATAGGGTATGAATGCTCGCCAGAGCAGAGAGAGAGAGACTGTGGGAGGGTCAAGTGAGAAATCACACCCCAGAGGGTATAGCCACACCATAGTCCCTTTCCCTCCATTCTCCTCTTGGGATTTTTGGGCATGCACATACATGAACCTGGCATATTTTCTAAGCCATCTGATCTGGGACTTGAACCACACAGTTGGCCATGTGGGATCCAGCTACCTTAACCACCATACCAACCTGGCTGGTCCAGGAAAGCTTATTTTTGGCTGACCTTCAGATAGGCCAAACTTCTTAGTTTAAAATAATAAAAGGACAGCACAGAGAACTATATTGTTGTTATGCTAATTTTAATAATTGATGAGGTGGATCATTTTCATCTCACATAAACCGCTGTAACTTTTACCACAGGTGGCCATTTCAGAAATGAAAGTTACAGCTAATGAAACACTTAGCCCACATGCCTTAGTGATTTTAATGATACGATTTGTTGCTATGAGACAAAAACACGTTGTGAGGGAAATAATCTGTTAGAAATCATATGACCTTGATTCAAAGGCTTTTGATGAACAGCACTAACATCCGCTTTTTGGAAAAGAAAAAAAGACCCTATCGTTAGAGCTCGGTAGTCCTTTTAAAGCAAACAAAACATTATTAGCCACTCATTAATGGCTATGGAAAGCAAAAATCGCTCCAAACGTTAAAAATTTCACCTGAGTTACTTTCAGCTCCTTTCTTATGAAAGCTTTCAAGGTCATTGGCAAAATTTCTCCTCTCTTACCCTGTCTTTCCCCTTCCTACTGACAAAAACCCTCAAGTCAACAGCAGATGAGAAGTGGACAGTCTAGGAGACCTGAGACCTAGCAAGCAGATTATGTAGTCCCAAATGGCTTCTCTTCTTGGTGTGTAGATTGACTCTGTAATTATTCAGTCTTCATTCATTCATTTCTACCCTCCTCGTGCGAGTTCTGTGCTCGGAGGCCTGGCGGCAAGCAGACACTGCCCATGCTTTCATAGAGCTTGCATTCTAGTAGGAAAGGCAGGCAAGGAGTTAACAATTCAGTCGTGTTTACTTATACAAACCCATGATCACAAACACTGTGAAGAAAATAAAATGGGGGGTGGGACAAGGCCACTGGGTGAATGAGTAGGCCGCTTCCAACAGGAGATATTTGGCCTGAGCCTTGAATGACAAGAATTTGGTCTGTAAAGATCTAAGGGGATGGACCAGCAGGTGGTGTGGTGGTTAAGGTGCTGGACACTCCCACATGGCTGACCACGGTTCAAGGCCTGGACCTGGTAGCTTGCTTTCTGACTTTCTCTCTCTCTGTTTGTCTCTCTCTGGTCAAGATAAAATAAGTAAATGAATAAATTAAAAGTTAAAAATAAATAATTATTAAAAAAAAAAAAAAAGAACTACTGTATTAAAAAAAAAAAAAGAAAAAGATCTAAGGGGAAAATTCTTCTGGGTAGAGAACGGCAGACTCAGGGTTCCAGAAGTGGCGACAAGCGTGGGCTATTCGAGATGAAGCTGGGGCTTGGTGAACCAGTGACAGTGCAGTAAGAGATAGAGAAGGCAGAAATCTGATCACGGTGGAGTTCAAGACCTCAAATGGGAGGTCTTGGACGGTTGTATCAATAGCTGAGTTCATAAATGGTCCGCTCATACACTGTACATCTAAAAGCAGGCTGCCTCCTGCCTGGTGCCGTGACACTTGCTGCTCTTTTACTAGCTGTGGAAAAGGAGCAGTAGTAGTGACCTGCCTTGTTGCCCTGAAACCCTGACTGGCAATCTGGGCCCCCTAAATGTATCTAGCCTTCCCTAAAAAGGCAGTACGTTGCATAATATATCTTAGCCTAGACCTTAAAAGTCTCTCTGGTCCTAACTGCAATTCTTAGAGTTGCCCTCCAAGCCCTGGTCTCCTTTGTCAGCCAGGCACTGGGATAGGTCCAGGCAGAATCCTTTTGCCTCCCCACCTTCCTTAAAACCATCCTACAACGTGTGACCAGGGCTATGCGATAGTAAGGCAAGAGCATGGGTTAGGGCCGGGAGACACTATGGATTGGAGGGGCATGGTCATTTTTGCCAGAGGACATGTGACAAAAGGACCTAGCCGGAGTCACAGGTCGAAGCAGGCAACAGACTGACTCCAGAGGATATAACCAGGCTTGAGGGACTTGCCTGGGCACATCGCCAGGGTCACCAAGTGTTTCCTGAGTCTAGACAGTGGAGACTAAAGGCAGCTATGTTAGCGACCACACACATCTACTGTTCTGCACTCGACGCCATGGTTTTCCTGAATGCTCGCTCCCTTGAACACTTCGATGGCTCCTGCCTGCTTACCAAACTAAGAATAAAATTCTTAGTCGCACTCTCGCCCTCCCCATTCAACCTATCTTTCCTGTTACTTTCTTGCTTCCTTGCCAGTTTTATCTCACAGTACATTTCTTCATGTATCCAACCTACACAGCAGGCAAACTTGATTATTACTTTTTTTTTTTTTTAATTTGCCAGAGGGCATGTGTGCTCCCTGAAAAGCGAGCAAGAGAGAGAAGTGGGAAAGCACCTCCCATTGGGAATGGTCACGCTGCAGTCACTTCTCCATTTCACCCTCCTTTCAGGATTTTGGACACTCACACAATGTGCCCGGCGTATTTCTCAAGCCACTGTGTCTGGGACTTGAACTGCTGGGTTGGCCAAGTGGGATCCAGCTGCACTAACCACCATTCCATGGGCTGGCCCAATTATTACTTTTCTAAAAATAAGGTTCCCTCTTGCCCTAAATACTTCGCCTCCTGGATCATCGTACTTCCTCCTTGGGCAGAGGTGGCAGTGCTTGGGTCACCAGGAGGTGTTTGTGGTTCACTTGGTAGGGCTATCCACTTGGTTCTCTCTAGTCCCCATAACTTCTCCGATTTCCCAGCGCTTCGGGCCTGGGCACTTCCTTCAGAGCTTTCTCTCTCCCTTACTGGGTTCCCTGCCTCTCCTCTGGCCTTTGGTTCTATCCTCTCACCCAGTCATGCAGCCTGCCCCTCTTCCCGTAGGACCCTGCTGCTCCGGGCCTGGCTGAGACATTCTCTCCCATGTCATACACTCATGTAAGTCACTGCCAACCCTGGCTTTGCTCCGAGTCCTGTCCTCTTCAAACTGCCCTAAGCCCTGCCCATTTCAAACTGTCCTGGTTCCCAGCCAGTGCATATAGACTTTAGAAATGGAGGACTAAGAAATTGAAAGGTATTGCCAACTGGTTGGCTGCTTCTCTGAGGGATGAGCCAGGCTTTCATTCATTTGCTGCTTCTTAAGAGAACTCTGTGTGTGTGTGCATGTGTGTGTGCATGTGTGTGTGTGTGTCCACTTGAGGGGAGGAAAGGAGAGAGGAGTGGTTCTACATATGTCATAGGAATCATTTCTCCTAGCCTTGGAGTCTAGACACTTGGGGGATTATGGTAAGAAATGGTGGTGAGAGGGCAGTTCTTCATGGTTGGATTATCTTAAGTCTTTTACTAAAATAAAAGCCTGTTAAAGAGTTTTTTATTGGGGGCCAGCAGGTGGTTAAGGATTCTGGACTCCTACATAGTCGACCACAGTTCAAGTCCTGGACCTGGCAGTTAAATAATTAAAAATTATTTTTTAAAAAAGAGTATTTTTGGAAAAGTTCCTTGAGCTTTCCAATTTGAATACCAAACTCATGATTTCACAGATGTTTTTATTTAGGAAAAAGGTGGATCGATGCTATGAAAACTAAGTAATAGTGCCAAAATATGGCAAGTATTAGCTGGTCACTACTTGGACCCCTCAGTTGGTATCAAGTCACAAAATTGCACTGAGCCTATCTCTTCCTTTATACAAAGGAACCAGAATTGATCATCCCCATTCTCTTTATTTTTTTATCCACAGTTGGCCATGACTACCCTCAAGCAGCCTACCGGCAAGTGATCCCACCAGCCCTAGCTGGAGCCAGTGTGAGAGGCCTGCACCCTGTGGAGAAGGTCTTCGTGAATTATCCCAGTCCCTGGAACCAAGAAGAGAGGCTTGTACAAAGAGACTGTTCTTTTCCTGGGCTCCCGAGGTATCAGTAAGTATGATAGGGTCAACCTTCAGATATTTTTAACATGGGAAAGAATTATGCCAAGGCAACCAAGATAGATCAAAAATCTCTGTAGATTTGCTGCCTTGGCTAGTGACCAAGTCATACTGTGGAACACCCAATCGAGACTTTTCAGGTCAGGAGGAAATGGAAGCTGGATGACAAGGATCTCTTTACTCAACATGTAAAACCACTAGTGATTAGCCAAAATTCTCTTAAAGAAAAGGCTTGTCCACATTCTCTAAGTCACACCCACTTCTTTTAGTTTCTTAACTGGAACTTTTAGCCCATGAGATAGACTTTTAGTTTTACTATGATTGACTTCCACTGTTAGCGCCGTTTCCACTTTTTATCTCTAGTTTCTATTCCTGTTTAAATCTACTTATTTTGAAATTTTAAATTTAACTAATCCTCAATAGAAATAGAAATTTAAAATAACCTGTTACAGGGGCCAAATGGTGGTGCAGTGGTAAAACGTCATGCTCTGCAAGATAGACCCACGTGGGAAGGGTCATGTGCAGAGATCTCCCTGAGCGCATCAGGTGCGTGTGCCCCTGAGCCAGGCTGGCCGAAACACGGTGCATTGCAGATCGGGACACTGTTAGTGAGGCTGTATCTCTCACTCTCTTGTCCCTTCTTTCTCTCTTTCTCTGTCTCATTCACTCATGGAATAAATAAACTAAAAACACACAGACCAAAAAAAGAAAAAAAAAACACCTTACTTTTTTTAAAGCTTGTTACATTTCTTTTATGAGAAAGAAAGGAGAGAGAGAGAGACCCTCCACAGGGTCTCATGGTACTATAATCCTCACCCTCAACCCTCCACTGAGTCAGGATCTCAGATGCAAGCACTTGGCGTGTTTCAGGTCAATTTAGGATCGGAACCACATTCAGCCATGTGTTCTCCAGCACTGCAGATTAGCACTGCACATTGGTATGCTATTGCCTGTACCACTGGGCCTGTTACTTTCTTCCATAATAAAAACACTCATACATGTTGAGCAGCATTATTAGGTTTCACATATGTTTCTTCCAGAAAAACAATTCTAGTTTTTCCTGACTTCAGTTGTCTAACCATTTGATTATTTCTCCTTGTTGTTTTCTTTCGACTCTTCTGTGAGCTTTCCTTTTCTCTTAATTTATAGATCTAAAGTACACAGAGAAAACTTATGTCAATAGAGCTCTCTGGGGCTAACTTAGACAAAATTGGAAAGAGAAGATGAAATGTTTGCTCTTGCTCAACACAAGTTTTATATACCACTCAAAGGAAAACTATGTTCTGTTTTTATAGAATAAAATGTGATAGAAAAGTTCTGCTAAAGTGGATTTTTCAGAAATTAGTAGTTAGCTCCAAAATTTTATTGAAGAAAATAAAAGGCCTCTTCACTAGCAATGGCAGGTAAGGCACAAGCTTGATTTCCTCTTTACTCAAATGTCCACAAGCCATCATATATTTTCTTTCTTATTTTTCTACAACGAAAATACATGAAGCTTAAATAATAGAATTAAGTGAAATGTGATTTTACTGCAGGCTGAGCACTGTACAGAAGTAATGTCTAAACTTCTGAGAAAGCCAAAAATACTTAAGCATCTTTATGAAATAAGTTTGTTGTTGAATAGGGAAAGCAATCATAATTTTTAAAATAAACTTATTTTGAAAATTTAGATTTCACATTTTAGATTTAGATGTACAAAATTTTAGATTTACAAAAGAGCTGCAAAGATAGTACAAAGTAATTGGTTTTATGGCATCAATTTAAGCTTGCTGTGGTTTCCTCAATAAATAAAAATGAGTTCAGGTAAAAAAGCTAATTCTCCCCTTACTGATAATTTGAAAGAGATTTAACACACAGTTTAACATTAATCCTTATGATATTTCTTATTGATGTTTTTGAATACTTTTAAGTCCTTACTGTTTCTCTATCAAATAAGCAATCATCTTTTATAACAACTAAACAAGTTTAGGTATACCAGGATTTAATGCAAAAGAATAGAGACCTGGCTCCTCATTAGATGAAAGCATATTTTATAGGAATTATTTCCTCTATTTTATAAAAACAACCTCTTGAAACATCCATATTTTAGAAATATAGTATAGTTGAAATTCCATGTACTTTTATTTTAAATTATGTTGTATAAGACTCAGAATTTGAATTATTCTTGTGGGTAAAAATATAAAAGCATAAACAATAATCCATCAAAACTAGGAATATACATATAAATTTTGTAATCAAAACATTTTTTAAAATTTTTAACATGGGGACCAGCAGTTAGCGTAATGGCTGTGTCACTGGACTCCCATGTAGTTGACCTCAGTTTGAGTCCCGGACCTAGTGGCTTAAACTCACACTGGGTGCGTGTGTGTGCGTGCCCAAGATCCCTAGAGGAGAATGGAGGAGAAGGGATTGTAGCGTGGCCATCCCCCATCCCCCTGGGGGATAATTTCTCTCTCTCTCTCTCTCTCTCTCTGTCTGTCTGTCTTTCTGGCGAACGCATGCACCCTATAGCAAAAACCTCTCCAAAAAAAAAATTATAACATTAAACAATTTTAAGTACACAATAAATAATAATGTCCATGTTCCCAGTACCCAGATTTTCTAAACATTAATTTACAACATTGGTTCCAAATTATTTATTTATTTAACTTTTTTTTTTAAGAGAAATTTTTTGCTATAGGATGCATGTGCTTACCAGAGAGACAGAGAGAGACAGAGACAGGAAGCATGAAACCACCCCCTAGGGAGATGGCCACGCCAAAATCCCTTCTCCTCTATTCTCCTCTCAGACTTTTGGGCATGCACACACATGCATCCAGTGTGAGTTTTAAGCCTCCGGGTCTGGGACTTGAACCACGGTCAATTACATGGCAATCAGTGACATAACCATTACACCATCTGCTGGGCCCACTTCTGAAATTTTTAGAAGAAATAGAACAAAACAGATACAATTTAAGTCCCGTACTAGTTACAAAAAAATAGGAACAACTCTTCCATTTTAGGCGGAAGAGATTTAATATTGGCATTTGGGTGCTGACTAAGTTGTTGGAGGTTGGAAGAGTGAACTTTTAGGCTGGGTTTCCTGGAAGGATCCCAGAGCAGCACACAGAATAGGACTACCAAAGAAACTTCCTACTCTGCAGTCAGGAAGGGAGAGACTCAGAAGGCCAACTCTGCTGTGACCACTGCAACTGCTGGGTAGGTTCTGTGGCTGCCAGACCTGCCCTGAACAAAAATGGATGCTCATAATCTGCCCTTGACGTTCGTGAAGCTGGTAAGAGGACCGTGGCATGCTTTCTGGGCAAAACTTGGCACTTCATGACTGCTTGCCAAAAGAAACCACAGAAATGGCAGAACCTTGATTTCCATTTCCTTCTGCCTTCCAAATCTCACACGAGGGCATGAGACTGTTCATCTCCAGAATATTCATGGGAATAGTAGCGATCAAAATAATAATGAAAATGCTACTTAACAATGTGGTAGAAACTTCTTTAAAGAGCCTTCAAATCAGATTTTTTTTTTTAGAGATTTTTGCTATAGGGTGTGTGCACTCACCAGATAGACAGAGAGAGACAGAGAGACAGAAAGCCAGTAATCCCACACCTCCCCCCAGGAGGGATAACCATGCTGCAATCTCTTCTCCTCCATTCTCCTCTCGGGATCTTGGGCACGCACGCACACGCGGCCTACGTGAGTTTTAAGCCACCGGGTCCGGGACGCAAACTGTGGTCGACTACATGGGAGTCCAGCGACATAGCCATTACGCTGACTGCTGGTCCCTCAAATCAGATTTTCAAAAACTATTTTTGCTACATGGCATGTGCACTCATCAAAGAGAGAGATAGACAGATGGGGGAAAGTGAGAAAGCAACCCTTGGGGGATATGGCCACGGCACAGTCTAATCTCCTCTCTTCTTTTGTTGGGATTTTGGGCACATGTGCACATGTGCCCAGCATGTTTTCCAAGCTGCTGGGTCAGGGACTCAAATTGCACAGTTGGCCGTGTGGGATCCAGCCAACTTAACGTTACACCATGCTAGTGGCTGGTCCAACAACATGCATATTCTTTTTTCATTTTTTAAATTTCATTTTCTTTTATACATTCAATCACATTATTTAACTTACAAAATGAATATATATATATATATACATATTTTTTTTTTTTTGGAGAGGTTTTTGCTATAGGGCATGTGCACTTGCCAGAAAGAGAGAGACAG